CTTACTAGTAGTAACAAGAAGCTATTAGAAACAAGTGCATCGCTACTAGTAACAAGTGCATCGCTACTAGTAGTTTGAAGAGTTCACAGAACAAGATATGTGTCTCTCGTGCTTGAGCTTCTGTCTCCAAAATCTGAAGAGTTTGTAGATGGGGATGGCTCCTGATGTCCAGGTTGGGGAAGCCAAGATGACCTACACCTAGGTCATCCTAGGTCACAGCCCCTACTCACATCTATCCTGGAAAAAGAGAAGAGACGACCAGGTCTTCACTGTAGTTGCGATGTCCAATGGACACCCAAGTCACCCAAGTCATCTATTTCCACTCCTTTGCGATGCACTCTGCCCAGTGGTGATGGCCTCCAACCTAAGAGCGATGGCCTCCGCCCTAGTAGCGATGGCCTCCACCCTAATGGCGATGGCCTTCAACCCAAGAGCGTCTTCCTTTTCAGGATATGTCGCGACGCGCAGCGAGGGCCGAAAGCCCAAGAGCAGTTTGGACTATTCGAAGTTCGATCACATCGAAGATTCGGATGATGACGCTCGGCCAAGCGAAGTCAGCACCGTTAGTCCATTCATTTTGGAGCACTACGATTGAATTGCCATTCGAAGGGAGGCACACTGAGAGTTGACATTGGAGTGATGCATCTTTTGATATAGGGAGACCTCCCAAACAACCCGTGGAAGAAATATTGGTTGGGGGGTTCTCTATTGAAATATTGCCACAAATATGTTGGGTCACGTTGATGTGACCAATCAGAGACCAGAAACCTTTGGATGCCCCGATTTCCCGGATGAAAAGATGAGAAAATTGGTCTTTTCTACGTTTGATGGCCTCCAACCTACTTGCGATGGAACCATTCATATGATTCATATCCATTCCTACGGAGTCGCACCCGGTCCCTTCGGCAGGAAACGCACGCTGCTTTTCCCAGCACGACGTTCCCAGGAGAAGATCGTGCCCAAACAGTCGATCACCCTGCCGATGGGCCTTCCAAGGGAGGCGGTCTCCCGAGTCTTGGACCACATCGGAGAATCGGTGTCCAAAGAAGAGGTGCGGAATTCGGTGTCTTGTGTGTGTTTTGTGTGCTTCTGTCGTTTCTTTTCTCTTCTGGTGAAAAGGGGTGGGGGCTTGGGGGGCTGGGAATGGGATGCATGTCATTCAAGAAGTGCACCACAATTCTGGTCTTGATGGGTTGACATTGCCAGTATAGTCTCCTCATGTCATTCTGAGGGGTTCAACCAGGGCGCCAGCATATTCCAGGTGTTCTTTGAGCAGAGTTGGTCCCTTTCTTTTCATTTGGTGTACGATTCAGTCGACGTTTTGCCAAACGAAGGCGGGCAATCAGCCCACCTGCCGATGAGGACATGAGTACGACAATGTTTGGCGCACCTTGCTTCAAGACAAGCAGCTGCCCTACACACCTGCACCGGATTTGGATCAGATGTGCCCTGGAGATCTCTTTGAGGACAGATCTGCTTGTGTCAGTTTGCCCAGGAACTATCTCGGTCTTTCGCCTTTCAGCTATAAAAGGTGGATGTACAGGTGGTTTTGCCTGGACATGTCCCAAACATGCCGTAACTTTTCTTGATGTTCACTCATGGTACGCAGTGCCAACTCATGTTACTGTACTGATGGCTATTGAATCAAAGACGGCTCACTGAAACCTGCCAACTTTACACGCCTTGGGACGGCTTTGGGGGTAGGGTCAGCTTATTGTAAGCTATGCCGAGAAGTCTTGATATGAAGCAGCTTCACTTTCCATGCAATACACAATACTCCAACATACTCTGGACTCCCTGTACTCCCCTTCAAGATCCTTCAAGCCTTAGACTATTCTTGGAAGTCACATGTTGGCCAAAAGAACTTCAGAAACCATGGCAAACCAATGCCTTTCAACATCAAAAGCCTCGGTCCCAGGTTGAGTGGCTTGCAAACAGTTCATCCTACTGATCCAATTGACATGAGGATTCGCCCTTTTCAGCCGCTGTGCAGTTTGGTGTCGCTTCTACGGTGTCGCTTTTTTGGGACTGTTGGGACGTCAAAGAACCATTTCAGGTGGGGCTACTACAAGTACGGCGGCATGGATGAGCAGGCGCTCCTGGATCAGGCTTGTGAGGTCTTGGGCAAGTTCCCCTGCCGAGCCTCGGCTGCCTTGCTGTGGCGGCCACGCTGCACACGCCGTTGCGGGGTGACCAGCATTCAAGAGCAAGTGGAAATGTGTCAGTTTTCATAGGTCGGAGATGGAGGGATTGGGAGGGCATGAATGTTGAATGTTGTTGTCCAAAGGAACCGTGAGCATCGGTCCAGCATGGGGTGAGACATCACGACATCAAAAATCTCGAGCTTTTGCACCAGTGAAACATCCCAACAAAACCCAGGCAAGTGCCTCGCTAGTAGTAACAAGTGCCACGCTTCTAGTAACAGGTGCCTTACTAGTAGTAACAAGAAGCTATTAGAAACAATAAGCTACTAGTAGCTTCTTGTTACTGCTAGTAAGGCACTTGTTACTAGTAGTAAGGCACTTGTTACTACTAGCTTCTTGTAATTACTAGCAAAAGAATCTACCAGTGAAACATCCCAACAAAACCCAGTAGATTTTAACCTTCCAGGCTTCTTGCTCAGTGCTGTTGGCTCAACTCGGCTCTAAGATCCCCAACATGTTGATTTCAGTGTCATATTCGGCAGTCTACAAGTAGCAAGAAGCTAGGAACAAGGGCATCGCTACTAGTAACAAGTGCATCGCTACTAGGAGCAAGGACGCTACGATCGGGGCTCTTGGCCTTACTACTAGGAACAAGAAGCTACTAGGAACAAGGGCATCGC